AATTTCTTGAAATTTCCTTATGAAATTTCTTTTTGTAATCTTTCATGAAATTTCTTAACTCTGCCCTGGACCTTGGGTTCAGAAGTTTCTCTGAAGCAAGAGGAGCCCTTTTCGATTACGTTTCAATCAAAATGCAATCCTCACTCAGATTTTTTGGAAAAAATAACCCTGCGATGCCCTACGCGGCATTTATAAATATGATCAAGGCGTTAAAATATTTTCACCGCGAGGGCGCGAACCGCGAACGCTCGGGTCATGGGGCGAATGCCTTGCCGCTTAGCTGCGCCATTGACGTATAATACAATTGTATTATACGTCAATGAGCTGCGCCGACAGGTATTGAAATGGCGAATTTGCCAGTACATAAGGCAAATAAAGTTCTTTCTTTCTCCACTAGAGCTGAGAGTAGAGACGCATCGGTGAAACGCTCTTGCTTACTGATGATCTGCGGCAGGATTTTTGTCATCCCTAACCTTCTAAGCCAAGAAGGAATCTCTGCTAAACTCAAACGCCGAACAGTAAACATTAAAGTGAGGTTATGTGTTTATGTGTTATCTTTCCCGTCCCAAGCGTGAATGAAATGAATTTGTGAGCAAGTAAATGAAGTAAATCAAACATTGCAGTTCTAGGAACGTAATTCTACAAACTTCATTTAAATATTCTCCGATTCCAGCAAGTGGTCAAGTCTCTGCACATTCACAGTGTTTTATTTCAGTCATCTGAATTTTAGTTGCCGTTGCAGAACTTCATCTCATATCCAATGGCAGACAGACTGACGCAGTTACAAGATGCTGTCAATCAGGTAACTTTTCCTAAAACTTCATCTTTTCAATTCTACTGCCCCACTATGCTTTAGAATGTTATCATTCCTAATGATTCACGAGTCACTCAAAGGGGCCTATTTAAACAAAACCACTGTTGTGCTGGTTACCTGGCTGAGAAATTCTAAACTTAGTACGTAAAAGATTCCACGTCTAAAGGGTTGATGCAGAAAATCGCTAGCTTAGGGATGTCATTCAACTATGTAACCCCTGTTTCCAGAATCAGTCTGAATATTCTCTGATAGTGAGTATCGAGCCCATACTTATTCAGACTCGTGTTTTGTAAAATTGATTTTTTCATTAAAATTATAAAAAAATTTTACATTTTGTTCTCTTTGTCTGTGTCAACAGATAATGGCAATATTTTTCTCTTACATTTTGGGTTTTTGCAAGTAATTCACGCTTAAGTAGGTACCTGGATTCTCTGATTGAAAATCTGCACTTATTTAAGTAGTATTTCAAGGAAAGAAATTTTCTGCGATGAATCAATTGTATTGTTAGAAAATTGTTTGACTGAAAATCAAATCTTAAGAACTGACCATTTAGGGGCAAAATTTGACGTTCTCAATGAGCTCTGTGTCAGGAGCTAGGTGTCATCTTGAAATAGCTGATGAAAGTCAGCATAATTCTCGAGGTGTCATCAGCTAAGTTGGTACAATTGTTTACTTTCTGTCTGCAAGTGACTGTGTAGCCGCTAACACACGTACACTCCGAATGTACATTCTGGCCTCCTGCGCATGCGCGAGCATCGAGAATGTACATTCATCATTCTCTTGGAAAAGAATGTACAGTTTGATGAGAAGGAGAAGAAACCTGCGACGATCTTTTACTCATTCTTTTAACTTATAGTTGTTCAAGAGAACAAAATGAGGAACATTCTCGATGCCCGCGCATGTGCAGTAGGCCAGAATGTACATTCGGAGTGTACATGTGTTAGCGGCTTGTTGTAGTCATCCAATAGCAGTCAAGGTTTGATTGCGGCATGACTGCTAGCTATGCTGCCGCCAAGAAAGAGATGGAAATTGATCTACTGCTTGCAACAGCCAAAAGCTAACAGTTGTGTCAACTTAGCTGGCAATACCTCTATCATGATGCAGTGGCAGGTTCTCGGAAGCTCTTTTGATCCTTTGTTTTAACTCCTTTTTTGTATCCTAAATTACAGCAAGCTGAACATTTTTGCAACAGTATTGGAATTTTACAACAAATGGCACCACCATCAAAATTTTCTGGTTTTGATCGAAGTGGATCTCAAACTCCTCAGCAACAAGATGGTAATTAATATTTTGTACTTCTCTCCAGATTCTGTTTAAATTCTTGATAACTGAATCATCGTGAGCTGTTAGCTCAACAGACAGATGGCAAATCGGATAAAAATCTTTTTCAGGTATATTGAGGGTGAAACGCAGAAATGCGTTTCTTGGTTGCGTTGTTTCAAAACCTCTCCCAATTTATTTCATGAACATCATGGCTTAGTAATTTTCAATGTAGAAAGTGAAGTATGACGGAAAGACTGCAACACCGCAAACTGAGATTCGCATTTCTGCAGTTTCACCATCAACATGGAATATTTCTCTACATGAAATCCTTAAAGGCTTGCTATCCTTAATAAAAAACATTTCTCTCATCAGAAATGTTTGTTGTCAATGTTGCAAGGTGCAACAGAGCTTGCCTTCTGTCCAAGCTTTATTTTTCTTTATCAAAAGTTATCACTTAGTTTTCATTAAATTTGCTTCTAAATGGTCCAAAACAACGGCGTCATTTCACCAAAACCTCGGGTCAAACAACTTCCCCCTCTATTTTTCAGCTTTTCAAAGTAACAGGGTAGGTACCGAAATAAATAAACATCATAATTAGGATATATAACATTAATTTAAAAATGCACCTACTTTGTTTTTCTTTCTTGCTTTCTGAAACACTGGGGGGGGGGGGGGGTGTCTTTTCTCCCCCAAATGATGCCACTGGTCGAAGACTAAATCAATTACCGATAAACATGAATCACACAAGAAATTAAAATGTACCAAAAGTGCATTGTCAGATGCAAGTTTGTCTCTTCAGAGAATGAGAGATCGTTCATGAATTGAGCCTGTTGAAAGGGGAGATCACAGTATTAATAGGATACCTAAAAAGTAAATTTGGAGAAGGGTCAGAGTAAGCCATTGCCCATTGGTGAAAGAGTTTGGGTTGCAGTCTGCAGTCAGTCCCCATGGCCGAATCATTGAATGGGATTGGTCCTGTCATTCTTATTCATTTTATTTTATACTTTTACCTTTTTTCTTACGTATCTTTACGCTCCTGTCCTTTATCAATCGTCTCATAAAAGCTGGCAGAATTATTTCTCCCTCTTAAAGATATTCCATTTATTTCAGACTATCCACACATGTTTGCTATATTGATTGCGAGGTGTGCAAAAGATATTGATGTTTTAATTGAGTCCCTACCAAGTGATGACTCCTCTCCAGAACTTCAGGTAATATTTTCTTCAAGTTTCATGCCTCTCTTTTCCATTGTTTTTCAAGATTGTCTCTCTTTCTCGCAGAATAATTATTTATTTTGAAAGAAGAATCAGTCTTGCTAGTCACAAAATCGTATTTTGATCATTTCAGATTATAGATCAGAAACAAATAATAAGATTTATCAGAACACCAAATTTTCACGTCCAATATTGACAAAAATATTATCCTTCAAAACTTACAGCGCATGACATCATCCATCAAAAGTAGTATCATCTGTGGTGTAGTGGTTGTAGCGCTGGCTGTATGGTCAGGAGGTCCAGGGTTTGATTCCCAGCTAGGCGACCCGAGTTTGATGGTCTCAAACAACGGTTGCCTCGGGCTGTTACATAGTAGGGACGGAGGAGGGCGGGGCTTCAACTGAAAGCGCAGGATTACCACTTGTGTGGTATTTGAAGAAGAAGAAGAAGAAAATTATAAATTTACACATTGGCACTGATTGCTTGATTTAAACTATGAAGGATTCCAAGGTGGACAAAACGATTGTACACACCACTGCTATGTATGATGCTATTTATGCTATTTTTTAAACGGTGATATCTTTGCAATATTGAAAGTAGAAACTCGTGTCGGAACAGATCTTATTTTTTGCTTATCTATAAGCTGAAACCATCAAAATACGATTCTACGACTAGCGCAACTGACCTATTCTCAGTTATGATCAATGAAAGCTTAATACATTCTGTTGACATCTGCTCACTGTATCTCTTCCTGATTGACCCAGTAATTTTTACTCACTACCAATTTAATTAGTGGACTTTTGATTTTAAAGTTTAAAAAACTCGCGGAAGTAAAGTCATAAAATTTCTTTTTGAAATGACATATAGTCCACTGGCTAAATTATTTAATTCAGAAAATTCCTCCATGGACATTTAAAAAAATGAGGGAATAAAAAAATCTAGAATTCTAGACACCATTTTGAACAGTTACTGCATGCAATCCCTGAAGTAAGAGCACCCTACCGTCTGCTCTTCCTCAAGATACTTTTGCCTTCATTTTCTATTCATAATTTTTTTAACGTCTCACCTAGTGTTAAAAGTACCTCAAAAATAGCAAGCTGCAATTAGTTGAGCTTAACTAATGGTTATTTAAGCGCCAGCAGGATACAAATACAATGAACCAGGGCATGAGATTTGTGAAATATGCCATTCAAGATGTTTTGAGACTCAACTGTCATTATCAGCCCAAGTGCAGCCTTGGTGGAGGGGAAACCTCAGATGTTGCAATGCACTGCTCCTTGTTGTGTTCTTACCTTTATCCGTCTTTATGCGTCCAAGCGCATCAATTTGACCGCAAGCACTGCATTTACCAGCACCTTAGTGCACGTTTTCTCATGGAATTATTTGATCATAAATAGGGTACTAAATTCACTTATTCTTCAGGATTCAGGAAATGGATTAACTCATTCCCTTTATATAGCCCATTTTGCAAATAGTTTTAGCTTTCTAATCAGTGGCTGATCATATTTTGATTTTACCCAGGTTGCTAGTTTGAGGCGACTAGAGCAAGAAAACCAATCTGCTGCAGAGCAGTTGGAAGAGGTTGTTCGCAAAGGCGAAGCCCTCATGGAGCAGATCCAGGCAGCATTGTCAGACATTGCGCAACGGCAACTTGAAATGCAGCAGCTGGTCAATGGTTGCCCATCCTCCGTCAGTGCAACATCATCCACCACAACTAGCGACAAACCAAGCACATCAATGGTGAATGGCATTAGTAGCAAACCTGCGTGAAAGATCTCCCAATGTAATGGATTTGTGCATCTCAGTCTCAAGGAAAAGTTGCATTGAAATTGTCTTAATGGTTTTTATCAACAATTTGTTTTCTCATTTCGCATGCTCTCTAGAGCTTACACCTGACTAACTGCAACTGTGAGAGAAGATACACCACCTATCTTTGATTCTGTCATTTTTTTCAATTATAGCCAATGATGGAAACTGGCCGATGTTGACAATGCCCAAAACAGCCAGTCATTGCCAACAGTGGCTAAATGACGTAGCCATTGATGATTAACTTACAAACACTTGCAATTACTCCATTGTCCCAGATCTCTTATTTTCAAGGGAAAACGAACGAACCATTGACATTGGAATTTCTTGTGAATTTTCTTCACCCACCAGAAAAAATCACACTAAACATGGAAGCATTTTGATACGTTTTTCCTAAAAAAATAAGGTATAATTGGAAATTTTTAAACGCTCCAATTGAAGCACACATTTTCATATTCAGCCATCGATGTCTTGTTTAAATCAAGTAAAAGGAAAGATAATAAACAGATAAAAATACAGAAACTCTAAAATGAAATTCTTGGTTCATTTGGGAAGCGGAAGAGATGAGGCAATTGTTAGTATATCAATACAAGTCTAAAGATCCGCCATTAGGACTAAACCAATTAAATGCAACTCTGTAATTAAGCTGTATTATTTTGTAACTAGATATTTTTATGTTTTTCTTGTGAACAAATTTGTGTACTACGAGTAATTACCTAGAATAAAAATGAATCATGTTTTGTAAATATATTTTTTTAAAAAAATTTTCCCCATAGACCGTTTTCCTTCAACTACTGCATAGAATGTCCTAAATTTGTAATCTTTAAAAATCAGGTCTGTTGGCTAAAAATAAGAGTTTATCCTTTCATAAATTTTTTTAAAAAATACCTAAATTTATTTTGGCCAGAAAACAACTATGATAATTTTTTATCCATGGCAGTATATATTTCGAGGCTAAGTCCTCTCTCAATCCTCTATGACATGGTGTTATTTAGCCGTAACATAGCATTTTTTGGGGGTCTTTAAAAATTGCCATTTTTCTGAGGCATAGAGTTGAAAATTTTTATCAGTGTTTTCATTTTGGAAAAAATGATAACCAAAATTTTGAAATTTTTAAGAAAAACTTTGGGATTCCTCATTTTTACAAAAACTGCAGTATAGATTGACATCAAAGACCTAAACTGAATTCATGCCATGGACGGTAAACTTATTGGCCATGTATCTCTTTTATATTGAGTTTCTTTAGGAGGGGGAACATTGACAGCAAAAATTCCACACTGCACAGTACATGTAACAATGTTATACATTTATTTACACTATTTACAAAAAAATGTACATCTTTTAAAGGTAAAATAAAAAATAGGTAAAGAATGACTGTTATTTTCATGCATGGCAACTGCACTCGAGAGGTGTTAACAAGTAACATCACGATCCATCACCCTCAATTAAATCTCCACAATCTTCATTCAAGCCAAAATCTTCGTCAAGATCGTTTGAATTCTGAAATAAAAAATAACGGAGACAAATGAAAGGTCTATTACTATGATACACAAAAGATACTGGGTGAAAAATTCTAGAATTATACAGAAGATGAAAGATGAGTCTATTTTTACAATAAAGTACAATCTTGTCATAGTGGAGCCTCTTCAAAGCAAAAACCCGCTCAAGATGAAAATTATTCCTGTGGATTTGCCAAGCAAATGCATACCAGCAGGCTTGCACAAAACAAAAACCTGCTGTTGACAAAAAACGTTTCTCAGCTTTATTGGATTTCGTTATGACCAGGTGCCTTTTGACGGTATAAGTCGGCAATCACATATCTTGTTTGCGGTGTCTGAAAATCTCTGCCTCTATGTTATTTTCTTAAAGGAGAACAAATTGACATCATTCCTTGAAATTTTTTCAGAATTTTCTTTGCACAGAGAAAAAAATCACGGCAGTTTTAAGAATTGCCGTTGAGTGGTTTTCCGTTTAAAAAATAAAGTACGGCAGGAAGTCTGCAACGTTGCAAACCGAGTTATGTGATTGCCCGCTTACACTGTCCCTTTGTGCTTAAGCTTCCTCAGAATTAAAAATATAACTTGGTGCCCAACATTACTCCAGAGATCGAGGAATGATTAAATCATCTTACAAGTGGTCTACATCAACTATCTTTTTGATTTTTTGGCATTGCTTCCAAAATCCAGAGTGAAGTCACATCAAGTTTTAAGGCATTGAGGGATTTAGTTCCCTGTTAAAACGATAAAACAAGATAACCAATTCGGCAACATGAAACGCAGTCAGGCTGATCCTGATGCCATCCGTCCAATTAGTCTTACTCTCGGTGAAATAGTTACGATATAGATGGTGAGAGTTCACTAATTGGATGATTTAAAAATTGATCAAGCATCCATTTTACTTTTTACAGGTTGAAAGGAGACTATAAATGCCTTGTCTAAAATTACAAATTTAAGATATTATTAGCTCTAGTAAATCTTCCTAGATGCACACAACAGCTAAAACATATCCGTAGTATAAGACATATCTTCAGATACCTTTTTGCTCCTCTTCATTTTCTTGATCAACTTTAAATTTTCGGCCAGATCATTCAGCTGGTCAGAATTTAATTTGCGTTTCCGCTTCTTCTTCTTCTCTCCATTCTTCACGGCCTGCTTTAATTTTGCTCTCATCTCTCGTTTCTTTTTCCGTTCGTCTTTTCCTTCTTTCGTTTTGGACCATGGAACAGTTTGTTTCATTCGTTTCTTCAGTGCAGACGGCTTCACAGGCCATTTCCCAGTTTCTTGGTAGACTTTTAACTTGTCTCCACGTGACTTTTCTCTTTCTTTGTTTCTAGAACAGAAAGTGAAAGTAATGAAACTACTTGTGAATATATAAAGCTCAATTCAACTGAGCTCCTTTTTTGGCTGTAAAAACTTAATGAATTAAAAAATAAACACATGATGTTGAGGGTGTCACATCTCAACAGCTCATTTTTTTGATGATGGTTTGCACGGAAACTCAAAGAGTATGGTCGTATCAACACCAAAAAGACCATCAAAATAAGAGGTTAATTTGGGTGAAAAATTGAAAGGACGTTCTCTTCTTGTAGTTTACAATTATTTTTGGTTTATTCACAATTTCTTTTTTTCTTTCCGGCTTTATCAACTCACTAAACCCCACTAAAATCTCACAAATTCACAAAATATTAGCGCATTGATTACAGACAAGCAGGTCATTAGTAATTGAAAGCAATGGGTCAGTTAAGACAATTTTTTTTAATTTGTCATTCTCAGTAGAATGTGAGGAGACAATTTTTAGGACAATTTAACTGTGCGCATTGTTTTTTTTTGTACTGAAAACTAGGAATCGACTATTTGCAGGCAAACCCTGCTTAGGTTCCAACTTCTGTTAACGTACTACTAACACCTAAAAAAGTGACCTTAAATGAAAGAATATACATATCACATACTTGTACTTAATGGAGTTAAAATCAATTTCAACTGCTTCAAAATCCTCATCAGTTTTCCCCTTCAGTTCTGGCATTTTAGGTAGGCGTAGAAGACCAAAGCCAAACGCAAGTTGTCCTAGGTTAAGATCTGCAAAAATTAAATAGAAACATGCTTACTGCTTTTACTGATAAAATTTAGAAGAGCATCATAAGTTCAAAAATATCTATGTGTGATTTTACTTCAGAGACAAACACAAGAAAGTCGAATAAATCATTTGAGGTCATTTTTTCAATTTGGTTTCCCATCTTATTAATTTTACTATAACTATAAATTAATTCGGATCTATCTCATTATAAACAAATGTAAATACAATTCCTTTGGGACTGAAAATCAAATGGTACCTTGTCACTTGCTAGATATTTTGATTCATAGATGATTCTCAAATTCAACAGATAGTTCTTAAGGGCTGTCCATAAATTATATCACATATTGAAGGACGAGGAAGGGCCTGAAATTGCACGATACAAGTAAGTTTTGCAGAATCAATGTATAGCCCTGACTTTATGAAATTTTCTTTGAAAGATTCGCTAAAAGTGTAGACAAAATATACTGATTGCATCATCTGAGAGTGCTTAAAGAGCTGGTTTTTATAGTGTTTTATATAATTTTATTCTGGTATGGGAAGTGGTAAAAAAATAGATTTAAAAGTGAAAAAATACACTGCATGGTGACGTCATCTGGCGGCATTTCCCATTCAAACATACACATCTTAGCAGACTAAATCATTTTGTCATATCTCCTCCAATAATTGTTAAATTCATGAACCAAGGGTTTCCTCATGTTCAATCCATTCAGTAGTTTCCACTTAAACACAAAATCTATAAAACAGACACTTGCAAATCCTCTATTCACATCGAATTCTCTCTTCCACAAATTTTGAATCGTTACAGGGAAATAGTAATAAAATAATACAAAACATTACCTTTGACTTTCAAGAGCAGATTGCATTCATGTTTGCTGTAGGCTTTCACATAGGATACAAAGGCACGGTTGGCTTTATCAAAAATCAGTCTGTCACTTAATTGCAGTTTCCTTATTTTATTTGTAATATCTTGCGCATCCATGAGATCAATCTGGGGCAACTCGTCTAGCACCACCTGCATAATGAAAACAAGTTGAAAGACATAGGTCATTAAACCTTGAACAAATTTTGACTGGCAAATACATTTTTCCAAAGGTGAATGCCATGTAGAACACGATGCGCACATTGAAGACGGAAAAAAAGACTCAGAAATCGAGAAATAAGCAGGTCAATTGGTGCAACTTTTCCAAAAATTTAGAACACTTCAGTTTTGCGCTGAATTGAATGATATCATCTGGCAGCCATCAGAAGCAAGCACGGGTTTCTACGATTTCCATCAAATGTCTTTCTACTCCTCGTAAATGAAAACAATCGAAAGGTTGAAACTATATCTTCCGAATCAAAGAATCGAATCTCACCAAGAAAAAACGAATTGACACATCAGCCTTTTTGATAACAACTGAGTCAATTTGCAACAGGGCTTGTTGCATTGGACTACCCCAACTTCAGCTCTCATATACCTAAATTTGAGCAAAACTCAACGTCTCTTGCTTTAATTTCAACTGTCATGTGATTTTCGTCACCAGCTAAAAAAATGAGTAGGAAATATATTTAGAGCTACCGCCAGGTGCCAGCACCTATCAGTGCACCTGTTTCACGATCATTTTGACTGAAAAATTCCTTCGCTGCCAACAAGTTAAAAGAGATGAGTACACTCTTTTAAAGAAACGCCCAATGTAGATAGGTCCTAAATGTTTACTGAAACTCAGTTCATTTCAAGTTAAAATGGAGATTTTAGTTTTTCAAATCGACTCACGTGCAAAAAGAGACCTTGTTATTGAATGAACTTTTGTACCTTTTGATTTTTATTGATAAAATAAACGTAGGCATCTTCATGAGGTTGAAGCATAACCAATGCAGATCCTTTATTTCCAATTCTTGCGGTCCTGCCACAACGATGGACGAAGCAAGTGGCAGATGAAGGGGGGTCAAACTGAATGACCCAATGAACTTCAGGTATATCAACACCTCTTGCCATTACATCAGTGCAAATCAAGATACCTGGAAGATTTGGGCAAACATGAGATCGACATAATGAGAAACACTGAGAGAATTTCTATGTATCGACTATGAAACTCCCGAACCACATATCTTGTTTGAGTTCATCATCTTAAAAATCTCCGCTCCCGTTTAATTTATTGAAGGAAAACAAATCAACATCATCATTCCCTAATACTTTCTTCAGAGTTTGCTTTGCAAAGAGAAGGGTCGGAGAAGTTTTCAGGAAGTGACTTGAGTAGTTCTCCATTTAAAAAATAAAGTATGACAGGAAATCTGCGAAGTTGCAAACCAAGATACATAGTTCAGGAGTTTCACTATCAATTTATTGGCTTTGCAAATGGCTCTAGTATGAGGGCTGGTTTGGTAATTGAATATGTATATGTTGTTATACAGTAATTTTTAGAGAATCAGGCAAAGATTGCCAATATTTTAGACAAAAATACCTAAAATTTTGTAAAGCTAAAAATATGATAGTAATCCAAATATATCGGTCAAAAATATTATCTTGATCATTAACATCAAATAAAAGGAGCCTAAAATCAAATTGTAGCCGAACAGTCCTGATCTAAAGCTCATTCACTCTGCAATGCCATGCATGGCAAAATGCCGTACCTCAGCGAGAGACTGGTTCACGGTGCACTTCATGCTCTCTGCCATGACCTTTAAATCAGAGCTGTTTAGCTATATTCCCTTACAAGCACCCGGTGGCGTTCTGCCAACAAGCTTCATTTCTTAGCCATCACCAAACTTTCTACAAGTGAGATTCTCTTTAGCAAAGCAAAGCTTGACTGCTTGGCTCCTAACAACATGAAATGCCTAAAAAAAAGTGAGTGTGCGCAAAAGTTTATGCTATTTTAGTATTTTATTTCCAAGGGGTCCTCTCCCACTCTAGACAGTAAAATATTATTGTATAAATTAGTCCTAGGACCAACGTGGTCATACAGGTGTCAAATTTGGGGCTGTGCCTCAAAAACCAATATAAATGTCTTGCAATCAATGCAAAGTAAAATTCTGAGAAAGACATATGGCGCAGAACTCTGTGAAAGAAATGAAGATATACACAGAGATCTAGTAGAGCTTTTAATTGAATATATTAAAAAAACCCGCTGTCAGATATGAGCGTACATCAACCTCTTATTGAGGGACATATCAAACTCCTTAATATTCTTAATGAAACAAGAAGACTGAAAAAAAGAAAGCTCTGGGAACTTGTAAGCCGGTATGACTTAGACTTTTAGCTCTAATAAGAAAAAGCCTAACTTAAGCACTAACAAGAAATTCATCTCATCTGATTCACAAGCATTTCATTCCGTCATAATCATTATAGAATTTTACTTTACCTCTCTTCACTCTATTTTTTATGCAGATAAGTAACTAAACAGTCATTACTTGTAAATGATCTACTCTTACATTTAAAAAATTGTATATACTTGAAAAGAAAAGAAAAAAAAGGAGGAAAAAACAGGTACTTTATTTGGTCATGTGATGTAGTAAAAAGTATCCTCACCTGATTTTGCCTCCTGAAAACTGTCGAAGACTTTATACCTTTTCACGTCTTTCATTTTACCATGGGTACAGAACAGTTGTACCTTGGGCAACAAACTGAAAACAAAACAGTCAATGAGACTAAGGGCTTAACAAGATTGGCAGATTAAAAACATACAAAAATGGAAAAATTAATAAAATACACTTGACTGAATTTCAATTGGGACAGTCACATACCAAATTCAGAATTCCAAGTCAATTATCACATTCAGATTGTAAGTAAAATATCTGACACAGAGTTTTGCTGCTCTGAGCTTCACTATTTCACCAGACTGGACATGATACCTATTAATTATAGTAGAGCGCAGTTTTCCGGGTATAAAAGGACTGGGCTCGCCCTGAATCAGTAAAAGCCCTCATTGAAACAACGACTGGGAAGATACTGCCCAGTGATCAAACAAAATACATTACAGCCGCAAGTACGTATGCTGATAAGTGTGTCTTCAAAACAGTAGACTTCTACTCTTTCCTCCTCTTCTTTATTTACAGCGATAACTTTATCAGCAGAAGTAGGAAAAATCATTGTCAAAACCACCTCCTCAAGACCCAGGTTGAAGCAAGCCTGGATAGCAGGAGTTCTACCCTATTTCCTCGATTTGAGATTAGTGATTACCATAATCCTAGAAATTTTAAATGATTGATCTTAGCACTAATCCAACAGTCATACGTGCAAGTGCCATCAAAATATTATTAGCTGCATAATATTTTTAGCAGGTATCTAGTATATACAATTATTTAATCTCTTCATTCCTGAATATTTCTCTGATTTTCAGAAAGTTCCTTAAGAAGAGGGTTAGATTTTCTATTAATTTTATCCAGATTTTCTCGATTTTTTCCTGGAAATTAGACACAGAGTATATAGAGTCATAATGTAAATGGGAGAGCTGGCGCCATATTCTGCTCGACGAGTTCCAAGCCTGGTGTGCGCCAAGGTTTGGTCACCTTTTCGATACATGTTCGATCCAAAATGGCAGTGTGGAATACATGTAAATTTCTATCTTCTTTGGTTACATCGGATGGCTGGGTAGCCGAGTATCGAAAACAATCGATCATGTATCGAAAAAGTGACCCGACATCACGCAGGAGTCTTGGAATTCGGGACCTGGAAAATGCTCAAATATGTATGAAAATATGTATGCTCAAAAATGTCAATATGCTATGTATTCTATGAAATTTGAGCACAAAATTATAGATACAAACTTACCATTTGAGAAGTTCAAAAAAATATTCAACGCACGCACAAGTAGAAAAAAATACAATGTACTTATTATTAAAGCCATTCTGTTTGATGAAGCTGATCAAAGTTGTGAGTTTATTCTGAGGTTCAACAATTGTGTAGTAATTCTTAAGGGATGATGGAGTGGAGACACTTGACTGCTGACTACAACATAAAAAAAGAAAAACATGAGTAGGAAGAAATAATGATTCAAATTTTCGGGAAATGATTTCTTGAATATTCGTACCTCCATTCATTAATGCATTGACAGCCGATAAGCTTTCACTTTTGTATTCCCCTCACACTTGGAAAACCCATAAGGAAGGCAAAATTGAAAAAACTAAGGAAATCAGGGTCAAAGAATTTTGTAGGTAAAAGTATCGAAAGCGGATGCAATGTTCATCCCTGAAGCATGCTGACTGTATCATTCTAAGCCTTGACAACATGATGCAAATGTTCATCTTCAAGGTCCGCTGTCAGCTCATGGGTTCAACAAGTTAAAATAAGCTCTTATTGAAATTGAATCGGTCAGTTACAAAAGGGCTCAAACGCCAGATTTACAAATACGAAAAAAACAGTAGAGACTGCATGAACCAACCCGTTGTACATAGCAGATTAATTGATGGATGTATTTGATTGATGTATTGCTTTAATAATTTAGAGCTCTGAGATTTATAAGGAGTCAATTAAAACGGTTATTACCATTTTCCTCAAATTCTCATTTTTGGCCCTTGAGTCCTTTTGAAATTGACCGATTTAATTATGCTCCACCCATGTCTAGTTAGTTTTTCTTTTTCTTTCACCACTACCAGAACAGGATTTCCAAGACCAGCTTGAATGAGAAGTGTTACTTTTTTAGTTTGTGTTGCTGAAAAAAGTCCAGTTTTTCTTTAAGTTGGTAAAAATTGTAAAATATTGCTGATAGCCCTGTCTACTTTGAGATTCACCTTTCTTCAACATATTTGTTTAAATCTATGCCCTTAATGAATTATTTTATAAAAAATGTTGAGTGTAACAATCATATTTTAGCCTAGAAAAAAGGATGACAGTGCTTCGAGAACTCTTTAATGGATGACTAGAAATTGGCTCATTTTTTTCTGACGTGCTGCTTAGATTGTATTATATTTCTTTTTAGAAAGGGGTAAATCAAAAGTGGTAGATGATGTTACATTTTTTGTTTTTATGAACAGTCAAATGCAAGTGCCTTGCTTTTTGTTGGATTTAATTTGCGTATTGTATCTGAATGAAGCATTCATTGAGAGAAAATAAGACATTATCTAGATCCATTTTGGAGATAAAATTTACTTACTCCTCTGCAGTTCCTTTTTCTTTCACCACTACCAGAACAGGATTTCGAAGACCAGCTCGAATAAGAAGTGTTACTTGTTTAGTTTGTGTTGCTGAAAAAAGTCCAGTTCTTCTTTGAGTTGGTAAAAACTGTAAAATATTGCTGATAGTTTTTTCAAACCCTAGGTCAAGCAGCCTGTCAGCTTCATCTAAAACGAGTAGCTCCTGAGAAACCATACAGCAGTGATTAGAAAATAATCACAATAACATACACATGTGCTTAATGTACCACTTATGGTAGACTGATCTGGAAGGAGAGAGAGATTATGCCATATGGTGGCACATGACACAGGAGAAAAAAATCGAGATTGCCATGGAATCTAATGTAGTAATGTCATGACAAATAAAGGAATGAAGGTCAAAACTACGTGCAATTCTCCGTCTTTTATGATCTCTTGCTTTAAAAAAAGGAGGAAAAAACTCTTTCATTGAGAAATTTTCTCAAGAGCTCGCATATTTCCTCATGCCACCAGCAAGTCAGGATTTGAACAATTTCTGCACCTTTGACTTCAACTACAGAGTAATCATTTGTTCTGAGAAAGATTTTAATTGATTTTTAAGAAATTAAAAGATCACTTTTCTTTTGAAAACAAAAAAAGGCCAAAAAAAGGTACCAAAGATTTTAGGGCTGTAGGAAGATTGCAGTCAGTCTGTTGTCTGATGAGGACATCTTCTAGTCGTCCAGGAGTAGCTACGATGATATTTCCACCTTTGTTGTTAAATTTGTGAATGTCCTGAGCCACAGAGCTGCCACCCACCAGTAAAATTTGCGTAAGTTCTTTGATATTCTTCAAAAACTCAGCTAGAACGCGACTGGTCTGAAGAGCTAGTTCTCTAGTTGGAGATATTATCAGACCGCCAACTTCATGTTTCTTGAGTTTATCCATCTTCTTCTGTGAAACAAAACAAAAAAAGCAGACTTAAAAAATGATCGAACAGGCTTCTATAATGCATACAGCATGATCCTGTTCAAAGAATCATTCAGAATCAAGGAACACTATTAACTCAACATTTTAGGCTTCTCTTGAATATAAAAAAAGTTCATTATTCTTTCTGAAATATATGTTATTCTTCCAAAAAGATTTGCAATGAACTGGAGCTACAGTAGCTCTCGTGAAAAGCTAGTAACACAAGTAGCTATCTAAGAATTCCTTTAAATGAGGATCAAAGGCTTACCTATGAATTGACAATGACAGGAAGCGCTGTGTTGCTAGAGGTTGTGGACGCCTAACAACTAAATGATGGAAAAATGTACTGGGCGATCAGTGTCCTTGAATTCGTCCATCCAAAAAAAACCATGAAAAATTATCATTCGGTTTGTTGAAGTTTTTGGAAACATAAGAACATTGCAAAGTACTATAAATTTGGGATCACTTGATTTGTGCTATACTAGCTTTTGTGGAAGAAAAACATTGGTTCAACTTACAATGAGCATCTGAAGCATTGGGATGAGGAACGCTATCGTTTTTCCACTACCAGTGACTGCTTCAGCAGCAACATCTTTGTTTGTGAGCAGAAGGGGTATACAAGCAGCCTGAAAGCATGAGAAAATTGAATGATTACTGCACACATCTGTCACTTTACTGCGCGCGCATGAGAGAAATTATGTAACCAGCATTGGTCTTGTCATAACTGCCATACCTACAAAGGACAAGACTTGCGAAATATTACTCCCGCAAAATCCTGGCAGATAATCTTTGAAGAGAAATAACAATACCTAATCAGAACTTCCAAATGAAAGGGCATAATTTAAAGATTTGCTAGAGAGATAATTGAGGTAAAATTAAGGATGACAATTTAATGGAATCTTAGTGGTTCATATATTTAGCATGTCTACTACATGATAAAGTCTTCGCCAACTAAGTTCATGCACTCTTAGACTGCGACAGCAGGGGTCCTCAAGTTCCCTGCTTTCCAAAATTAAGCGCCCGTAGAAAGAGAGTTTTCTGCAAAGAATGATGACCCTTTTTTCCAGTCCGCGGGTGTTTTGGTCGATTGGTGGAGAGAAAATTTTAAAATGGTATTGAGAAGGACTTACTTAATCCAAACTAATTTTACCATGTCTGTGCCAGATGTCGCTCTCCTCCCCCCCAAAAACATGCAAGGGTTTTCCAGATGTACTGCGCAAGCCCGGCTTGCATGATAGCATATATTATTGACCCCTGTGCAACAGAAGATCCACTCCTTTCCTTCTTACATTTGCTTTCCATGCGATAAGAAGTCGGACGATCTTCGGTCGCAGTCTGAAAGTGCATTAACTTATTTCGCGTGGACTCTACAATGTTATGACCAGGAGAGCGGACACTGTACAGTATAGAGAACTAAATGAAAGAGTGAGAGGCTGCAGTACCTGCACGGGAGTCATGGAAGAAAACTTCAACTCTTGGATAGTTTTGAGGATCCTTTCATCTATAGAAACTTTCAAATCCGACCATTTGGTTTCCATTTTCACGCTGATGACGATAGAATCATGCACTCTCAACAATATGGCAAGTACTCCTCACTATTCGAACATTGCTTGCAACAAGTAAAGAACAGACTACTTTTCACTGAAAAAGAATAAAATGTGAAATCACATTCCAACCACCGTTCACTTTGCTTTCACAACAACATAACCTAAAACCCCATGCTCCATGCGGACAAAACAGAGAAGCGATCGACCAATCAAAAAATGGACCGTACATTCTCTGATTGGTCACGAGATTTGAAGCTGAAGCGCGCGAAAACACATCCATAGGCGAAAAGTGGATTTTAGACACAGATTAGTGATTTTAGAGGTAAATTTCTGGAAAACCTACCAATACAATACTTCCGTAACTTTGAAAATCAATTTTGTCGATTTGTCGTGAAATTTACGAGAGTTTTAGCGCTTAGCAGGGACGGAACTTGACAAAAAATAGAAACTTCATGGGGAGGGGGGATAGTCGGCAGTTCGCTACTGACTGATGATTGAGCTCTAAGCTCCGAAACGTGCCTCCAATAAATAAATTTTACCGCAATTGAGTACACGAAATTTTTATAAAATTTTAACAAAAAAATGTAAAAAGAAAGCATGAAGAAGTTTTTTTGGCAGTCACTTGAAGCACTAGAACCACTGGTGTTACAGCAATCCTCACGTAAATTTTTCAAAATTTCCATTTTGGGGAAAAGGTAAACATTTTCTTAAAATGAGGGACTATGAGGTCTAAACTTGATGATTTCCTGTATAAAATGTTGTGTAGAGCATTTTTAAGTCTTTGACAATTTTGCGTATCTTCCTGCGGGAGGTGCTTGTACTTGCTCTCCTAAGTACAAAGAACGCAGGATGGCATTGATGCCGTCCTACGTTTCCTATTTTGGACACCCAAATACTATTGCTAGAGTCATCCATACGTGGCTCTGCCTCAAACATCGTCCAAAGCTTGCGCTAGGTGCTTGTTCATGTTGTCTTAAGTACCTACCGAGAGCGTAAGAAGGCATTTATACCGGGGAGTTCAGCTTTCCGGTTTTCAATAAAGGTACCAATGCAAAAAAAAAAAAAAAAAAAAAAAAAAAAAAAAAAAAATGCGAAGTTCTAAACCGATCGGAACATTTTTAGAACTCGCGCCGACGGCTTAGTTTTTTCAAGAATCTCGAGTTGTCAATGTTGGACCACTGAATAACTGCTCCTATTACCAACCATTTTTTTTTTTTTTTTTTTTTT